TTCGGGTGAGCTTTATCTGATCATTTCTAAAGCGTACAGGGAAGAATATATTAGCGAAACACGTAGCATAATACGTCCGTATAAAAGAAGACCTAGTCGGTGTAATTAAAGTTAAACCAAATGCGCGTATGACCCAGAAACACAACAGGAAATATTTTTAAGTAGAAGTTACCACTCCCACGCAGGAATCGAGGACTTTAGCGGGCAAAATTCGAAGCGTTCTAGGTAAGTTTCAAGCATCCAAAAGTGAATAGCGGGGAGGAATGCCTGGCTATCACAAGTGATCTCGCTCAGTATTTGAGACGGATATCTTAATGTGAGATAGGCAAACTACGCTTCCATTCGAACTCTGTGCGGTCGAATGTTTACGTGAAACATTCATTGCAAGAGTCATAGAAAGCGTTGAATGTGCGAAGAAGTAGTTTTGCTTTAAATTGGATTGAGATTCTGGTTTGAGGCTCTCTGTTTGGTTATGGAGATGTTTGGCTTGGTAGATTGCGCTCAATTTGACCATTCCAAGCCCTGAGGAAGGTGAAATCCATCAAAACATGAGCTTTTTCGTAAATAAAGAATAAGGTCTTCCCTAACTTCTTCGTCGAATTCGCCATGTTTTTGAAACCAATCAAATCCAATATTGCGCTGTTTTTGTTAACGCATATTTGGTTCCATATCTATTTAATACTTCTAGTTGAAATCACAATGTTTATTTTTTTATTTACTGCCTATTGTAATATTTATGGCAGGGTATTACGTGTGAAACAACTACAGTGGTGCTGAGATATTTGCAAAACTCCGGACCGCAGGTGTCTGCGGTGGAGAACGAACGCGCTATTGTCCTTTCCGGGGAGTAACGCGTTCACCACCACACCATGAGGTCCTTGGTTTCGCTTGTCTATCAGCTAGTTCTACTTCAAGTTGTTTGCGCTGCGTATGACGGAGTGTGAATCCGTTGAAGTAGATTTGTCGGAATTGCTTTTTTGACATCTGAAATCCTGGAGGGTAAAAATTGTCAGAGATGCTGTTTATACTGTGTTGCAATTAAACAGCTCGGAGAGTGAATAACATGAGCTTTGCGTTGATATATATTGGCGGCATTTAAAGAACAAGAACAATAAAAGAACAAATTTGCTAAAACATAGGGACTAATAGTGTATACTACTAGTAAGTGACAGTAAACCCTGCCTATTCATTTCAGTGTTTTCTTTTGGTGCAATTACATGTGTGCAATGCGTATTCTTGCTAATTGACGTCGGAGCTCGACAGCTGCATTAAACTGGTGCGGAACACACTGTAGTGTTAGGTGGATCCTTGTAGGGTACTGGGATGAGGCAACATGCCTTGAAATGTGACGAACGAATTTTTCCAGCGCCTTTTTTTTTAAACGTAAAACAATATCAGTTCGTTATGATAACGGTATGATGTGTGAGTGTGAACTATACTCTTACAACACTTTCATTACAAATGCTCGTTATCTTCGATGTCATCTAATTTCACTATTTTCATGCTATCTCAGGCGGCGACGGTAAGTACTACGTTTTCTAGCGCTACACGTACTTATAGTGGCTACTGAGCGCGATCGAAATCGACTGTTTTCGGTTCAGATCTCCTAGGCAGTTTACCGCAGTTGAACAGCTGGTAGCTGCTTCAAACTGCTACACTTTCGTCTGGAATAAACGCGCTCAATAGTTTGACTAACCCCGGCTTGTGTGCAGTGGCTTGAGATCTTGAGCATGCGTGACTCGACTGGTCCTTTTCTGTCTGACGGTGTCTGCACATAAATATGACAGCGTTGTTGACAAAAAATGAGATTGTGTCGTTTTAGGCTTGGTGTTTGTTAACGAATGAATGGCTTATTTTGACAATTTTCGGCATTCGTGCCGTGCAAAATGTGATGGAAAAGGTCGATCTCAGTTCATAGTGCCACAGAAATAGTGTGCGCATAATTTTTTTCCACAACAACTGGAATATATTTAGAAGCATGGATTGTGAATTAGGTTAAGGGAGACTTAGTGTGAAAGTAAAGAAGAATGAAGTAGAGAACATATGTGGAAGGTGCATTTGAAAGCATGCTCTTTATCCGCTTCATTCTTCCTGTACTTCATCATTACGATATTCCCTTTCCTAAGAGGACCTGTCTATCTGAACGTGGTGTGTTATATATATCGGTCATACTTGAATAAAAGCAACACCACTTCATTGTGTTTATGAAGTGAACTGATGAACCATAAGAGATTTCAAGAAACCATGAAGTGGTGTTTTTGAGATATTGCATGATGACCGATCGGTGATTGGCATGCAGTTTGATATGTCCTCATAAGTATCCTACCTGATTCGACCGTCATTTGACCGCCACTTCTAGACAGACAGAAAAAAAAGACATCGATCCGATTTCTTTAGGATATCCGAAATGTCTCGCAAGAACTATTTTCCGTTGCTTTTCAATTACATTTGGCGATTATAAATGTATCTTTTCTATCATTGGCATCCATTCTGCACATCAAACACAGCCATTCATTCGCCTCCAGTTTCTTCATTATCTGCTGTTGGTTTTTAAATTTTCTTTCGCTTGTCACCACATCACTGCATTTCGCTTTCGTGGCCACTGTCGAGTTTCGCCTTCCACGGTAGTCGTATTTAGTGCAAGTGTTTTCCCTTTCATTTTTTTGCAGCCATTCCATGTATTTAGTTGGTTGGGGTTTGTATTGGTTAACTGGAGTGTTTTTTTTCGTTTTGATTTTTATGACGATCTCTCTTTCTTTCTCTTCTTTCTTTCTCCAAACCAACCTCGGTTCATTACGGAGTTCGTAGCAGTTTTTTCTTTTGGAATTAGTAACGCTTTTCCGGGGTAGAGGTTATTCTATCATTTATCTGATTCCACGAAGCCAAAGTGTTAGGTGTGCTCTTGAGATTCGGGCGTTATATCAGGTAATGCGGAACTTTGACACACAGTGAAGTCTGTTGCAATGAAGTTTGAGGGAAGCTAAGCCCTTTTCTTAAAGTAAAGTTAGAGCCAGCGTTAAATATGTATCTAAACCACGTCGCACGAGCTTAAAAACGCATCATAATCTTTATATTTTTTCACTGTGCTCTTGATGAGCAAACACATGGTTGTTACTTTATTCTTTATTTATGAACAAGCTGACGTTTCGGCGGATTTCGCCTTCATCAGAGCCGCCTCACTATTCTACTCAAGAGACTCCTCCATCATTCGATAAATGCCAAGGTTAATGGGAAGTTAGTCGTGGGATTTACTACAAGACATGCCAACGAGGTTTAAGAAGTGCTGTCACGAAAACAAAAGGTCGTTTTAACTGGACAGACAATGAACTTTCTCTGTCACCGCCTACAATACCAAGTCGTTACGAACTTCATCAAACGAAGACGAGTACTCAATATATGCGGACTAGCAGAGGGTAGCCACCGAGTACTGGACATCGAATTGCGAATACTACGCGCCTGTGATCAGTATTTGGAAGACCACTTCTGGAGGAAAATAGTGGATGGGCTCTGAGGAAGGCGAAATTCGCCGAAACGTCTTTTTGATAAATAAAGAGTGATTTAACAACCTCATAATTGGTCGTTAAGAGAACAGTGAATTCGATAAATGTCGAGCTCAATAGAAAGGTCGTGGGAATTCCACAAACTTTAAGCTATGAAATTCTCGACGGCTTTTCACGATCGTTTCCGAAAGCTTAATTTTTAAGTTTCCATGAAGATATAATTTTGCGGCTACGTCTGGTGGTCTTACGTGTCATCAACACATATGTGACACGGGCTTTTATGTATACCAAAGTATCTGCTTCCGATCCTAAAAATTTTCACTTCTTCTGCTTCGTTGACATCGATGAACAATCGTGACTATGAGATGGCTCAAGAAATATGCCCAGTATTCGTTGTAAGATACTCACACATTCTCTGGGGGTTGAACTTAGAATGATTATTGACCTTTAGTCTTTTTCGTTCATATCCATTTTTTCAATTTTTTTTATGCGACACATCATTTACATCTACTGTGCGGATCCTAGTACTTTCCACATTCGATTCGTCTTCTTACGTCCATTATCCACGAGGGTCTTACGACTTTTGGCTTTGGCTGCTGCTTGAAGATTTTTATTTCATCGTTAATGTCGTAGAATGCTGATGGAGTCGATTCTCCTCGAAATTCTGAGGTAGCTGGACTAGAGTGCTCCCACTTAGATAGCGAAGAGTGGTTTTCTCTTCGACATGTTCAGTACCTGTTTCCGGACCTCGGAGGGATAAGAGGCATGGTGTGTCTGGGGTGAGACGAAACCGGCACCGTGCTCGTGATTATCGGAACCATTAACCCCGGGGTTATCCGCCTCTTATGTTGATTTACAGGAGAAGATATGTTGTAGTGAATATTCCCAATAGTAGTATATTTATTTGTAAATTATCTGAAATTGTGTACTGTTTACTACTCTTAACCACATTGGAAACAGGTCACCGTGTTTCATTTTTGCATAAGCTTTTTTGTACAGTGAAATTTCTTAGAAAATTTCTTTCGTTCACAGTTGTGCCTTAGTATTTGTCCTTCACCAAACGCTTCTAGTGCTTAATTCGTTCGTAAACCCTCAGTCAATCACTAGCATTGTTAGGCAGAGCGATTTTTTGCAATCAGAAAACGACTCATAAATGGTTGACAACTCTGAAGTGTAGCGGTGATAACTAACTACTGGCCGCTTGTAACTAGTTTGCAAATCTTCCGATCATTTTACCCATAGCAAAATAATAAATTAGCAAGAGGTTTGTAATCGTCGAAGGCAAGCTGTTTTTCTTTAATAATTAGCAAAATTCCGCAGAATTTTCAAGTTACTATTGGAGAACTCTCATTGTCAACATTGCTTTGCTTGACCTTGCTATTGGCTGATCGTTGAGAGCTGAACAGACGAACCTTGTCGTACCCGGTATTGAACTGTCCCTCGCTACTCTCTGAGATAACGCTTATTCTCGGGCATGTGTTCGATAGTGATCCATGAACTATGCAAATAAGTCTGAACCGAGGTTGGTCTAACAGTAGAGAGATCGCGTAACTGTAAGAAATTTCAGGTGGAGTGCCATCAGCGCGAAAGGAAGTGATTCGGCACAAAATTCGTGCCATAGGAAAAATGGCTCGCGCATTTTCTGTACTGAGGTTAGCATTATTCATTCTTTTTTGCATTGTTTATTTCTTTTCTTAAATAATCGTTTCCTTCGCCTGAACTACGCCACAGGTTTTCCAATTTTTGCCGTAGTTTCTCTCATTAATGCTCGTTTTTTCTTCTGGATATTCATTATCTGCTTATCCAGTTGATTCACATTCGAACTTTTTCTTAGGAGTAAAGAATGTTTCATACTGAATTCATGGATAGGCAGCTAATGAGAGCTTTCTGTGTTATGTGCGTTTTTTAACACTATTCTTTATCATTAATTCTTTTCCTATTATGTTGGAAGTAACGGAATTGAAGTGACCATTAAGAGCCTAACGTAGTCTACGAAAATTGTCTTGTTATTTCTTACCAACTTCAATATTGGAATGACCTATCTTCTTGGAGAATCGTGCAATCACTATTTGTATTGCTGGCTTTACGAGCTATTCCGGAAATTGCTTTGATCTTAGTCTAGTTCTGGGTAGAAATATCGATTTCTTTAACAACTTGGGTGGTACTAGTCCTTGTTGGAACCCATCTGTATATCCTAGGTATACAACCAAGAATATCAATGTCCTTATCTCCTTCCCATACTCCTACTTTAGATGCAGAGCGAGGGTTCTTATGATCTCACATTTTTTTGGAAGGCAAATTATAAAGCTTGCTTCAAGATGTCCCTGTGAGCAGACGTTATTGTCAACATAAGTTAATTGAGTATTTAAGCAAAATCTCTCATATTCTTGTCACACAAAATGTTTAAAAGTTTATATCATATAGGCATACGCAAAGTATCATACCTTCGACAAAAAATGGTTTTTGGTTACTTTATTGAGCTTATAAGGTTCTCAGAGTCAAACTTTAATCACGACTGATTCCATCTTTGGAAGTCATGATTTGAAGCATTTTTTGTTAAGGGGAACACTTATCCTGCTCAAAATTTTTGCACTTTTGACTGGTTCTGATTCAGGCTGGCTAAGTTACACCAGAGCAGCACCCACAAATGTTTCTACACAAAGTAAAATTGTGTGTTGAGTGTCGAGCATGTTTTTCATGTATTTTTTAGGGAAGAAAGCGAGACGGTATTGGCGCTTAAAGGCCTCACACCTACTGGAACTCTACCGCTGGGTATACTGAACGAAGGTAGACGTGGAGTACAGGAGGGTAGGTGCAAATTTAGCATCATGCCCACGTCATGACCTTCAACGGACTTCTTCAGGCAAAGCACTACGTTGGGATCGTATTCTTGTTTCTATTCTGCTAACCCATTGTGAGCTTACCGGTTTCCTTGGGGTGTGCTGCGCTGTTCTCTCTGGTGTGCTTCAACATGACACAATGTTTTGCACGATGTTTCTACCATTAACACAAAAAAATTTCGTCGGCTTTATTTTTTGCGATCTTTTGGAAGTAAGCAAGTATTCCGTTGTGTAGTGTATATACATTTAAAGACACGAGAGTGAAGCGGTGCTGCAACTGAAGGGTCTAACTCCTGGAGGCAAACTGCCACAAGGTGTTCTGTCCGGAGGGAAATCTGCGCTTATCAAATGTGGGTTGTAGAGTTCGTGTCTCCTTGGCGACTGCCTGTTATTTACCAGCTGTGACGTTCTTCTTTCAAAAAGAAAAAAGAAAGAAAGAAAAAAGTGTTCGATTTGCTATTTAGATACCCGTGGGTTTTGCAGTTCTAAATTTGTCGTAAAAGATTAAAGAATACGTGCTGGCGAAGACTATTGACTAGTGACGATTCTATACAGTTGAAGGTTGACAATGTAAAGCGACCTCGTTATGTTAACGAAATGATGGTGGTTGCAGCTTTTTGTTTTTCTTTTCACGACGTTAATATGTACAGACCTTGTCTTATGCATCTGTGATGTTTGTACTGGAGATTTTTTTAATCCACAAATCATAATTATTGTGAGTTTTCAGCTCTGTCAGGTGTACAACCCGGTCATCGTATTCAATCGTTTGCCGAAGCGAAACGACTCGATCAGATGAACGAACGTATGCCGCCGTCGATGGTGTCGCCCGGTCAGTCGCCGTCGTCGTCGCCGCAACCGCGTACACGCAACGGACCGGATGCGTAGACGAGCGCTGTTCAAATGCCAACTACTGCTTTCACACGTTGTCTTCTGATGTCATGTACCGTACACCAGCACATACGCACATAAACATGTTTCTTTTCTCGTCTTTTTCTCTATCTCCATATCTATCTCTCCTTCTCTCTCTCCCTTTCTCTCTCTGTCTTCATTTCTCTTTTTAAAATTCTCCCTTTATTATATCTCTATTCAAAACTCGTTATTGTTAACATATCCGCATATCGAACTAGTCCACAGTATGCGTATGATGTTTTCGCTTTGTCCTATTATTTCAATCGTTTTTCTTTTGTCGTAGTTTGCTGCATCACGAGTATTTTTTTGTGGATTTCAAGAAGCACAAAGAGCACGACATAGCATACATCGATTGCGTAAAGTACGTAAGAGCGCAAGACTTCTAGTGAATAATGTTGACGGACTATGTAAAGCAATTTTGTCAAAGGTGAAACAGGACATACTACGTGACGAGGAAAACCAACGGTGAAAAGAGTGAATGAAAATCATAAGTAGTATTTTTTAACAAGATAAAGAAAAATCGCATGTAATGACAATGCGGGAACCATTTGTCTGCCGGTCATCGAGCGATTCAGCAGCGATAGGTATTTTTTTCTCTTTGTCACCCCAAAAACAGCTCGGGCTTAGTTATTTTCATGTTTTGAGCGTATACTTTGTATCTCTCTGCCCTTCTTATGTCAAAGCGATGAAACCAAATATCACGGTAGCTCTAAAGCTGTGCATCTAAGACGACGTAGTTTTTATTTTGCATCGTGCACAACTCAGGGTTCCACACTTCCGAACCTCGTGACGCGGACGCGACATCCTTGCTTGTTTCCCGTGTACCCTACGAATCCCTCTTTCAATAGTCATCAATGGTTGTCGCGTTTCGACTCGTCGTTGTAGTACTTGCTCTAAATTTGATAAATAATGTTCCATTTAATAACTTTAATAGTTAGAGATATTTTACAATGAAAAGGAGTGTGTCTGCTATGTACCATGTAATTTTCTATCTAGAAGCATCTTTTAGCTAGTGGGGATTTAGCCAGTCGTCATTTTTTTTTTGTTTGCAAATTTCCGGTGTATAAGGTATTTAACTTTTCGTTCAGGCTTGGTCTACAGTGCTTTTCTCTTTTTATGACATTATTTATAACATATTCCATGGGTCAGGCATTGTATTTTCTAAATCCATTGTTTTAGGACGTTGCTTCATTGATCTTCATCTTGAACATCAAACAGCGGCTATTAAAGAGTTGTCCATCTAGCATTATAGGGCACGCGCTATGAAAGTTGTCTAGATATTCGTCAATCCGACCCATGTTAATCCGTTAGGTGAAGAGATCCAACATTGTCGTCAGCGTCAGTTTTCTTTGTACCACTCATCATTAACCAATTGCGTCATCTCATACATTCTTGTTGTCTAACCTATTCCTCTTCCTCCTATGTTCCTAAAAGCAGGCAGAAGTGAAGATGTATCCGTTGATTTGATGCGGTCGGACTTAGTTATTGCTTTATGCAGGTTATATATATATATATATATATATATATAGTCTAACTACCCGACCGTGATATTGCATCAACGTTTAGCTTAATTCTCTGTCATCCATTTTTCTTTTAATACTAACGTCATCAGTGCGTTGATAATATAGATGGTTGATTTATCATAGATGCGCACCCACACACAAACACCGATTTCGCAAAAGCCATACCTTTCCATGCGTTGCTCATTGTGTTCTTCGTCTTCGAGTAGTCTTCATGTTTCGTTTCGTCCTTAAATAACCTGCATAGTTGTCTTACTCGGTCTCTCTTCCTCTGTCTCTCTATCTTTCTTTCTCTCTCTCACGAATATTTGAGCACCCACTCACACCCATGACGACAATCCTTTCGTTTGACGATGATGATTTCTATAAGATATCATTGATGTCCTCATTTTTGTCACATGCGTTTATTTTTCGTTTGTAATTCTGTGTTGCAGAAGTCTTTTATTTATATAAAATTGTTCCTTTGTAGAAGTGCAACTATAATCCCAATACACACGTAATACATTGTGGAATTCGTTTTCTTTTTATCGTCAACAAAGAAATGGATTTAACCACACGGTGGTGGTGGGCAGAATGGTGGAGGAGGTGGTGGAGGAGGGCAAGGAGGTGGTGGCGGAGGCGGAGGGGGTGGAGGAGGGCAAGGAGGCGGTGGCGGTGGTGGCGGTGGCGGAGGACAATAACATGGTGCGATTCCTACTCCGCAGCAGCCTCCTGTAAGCAGAAGCATTTAGTATTATTCACGAAAAAACATTGGAAACTGATTCATAGTTCAGAAGACGGTTTGAGAATGGCTATTTAAATATTAGGATTTGGAGAAGGGCTCCAGGACTTCATTCTTGAATAATAGAGCTTTGCCCAGCATTAATTCTCTATGACTCCGTGAGTTTTACCTGGGAATTTTTTTAAAGGGGTTTAGTTAGGCACAAAACTTTGGGAAAGGTCGAGAAATCGAGAAAATTTCGTGCCAAAGTTTACATAAAAACAGTTTAATGGATAGAATAAGATAGAATTCTGCATGTATATTGGATATCTATAATGTATTTAACAGCGAGATACTTGAATATCATTCGTTATCAAAGTCTGTTTTTAATTGTTTATTTCATTTATCCTCCAAACGGTTTACCGCATCATCGTGGCTGGGAGGTGTTCCTCGATGTCGGACTGCGACACACAGCGGGGATTCATCTCCTGGCAGGGTCTCCTAAACTGAGGAGCCCGGCGTTTACATCAGGAAACCTAGCTAAGAGTAAGCCAATACCAGGATCCGCCATCGTACTGGTATCAAAGTTGCATGGTGGAAAATCTCCCTTTGATCCACAAGGTGTGCGACTGCCTGTCGTGGTGAAGACCTGGGGCAGACTTTGGCCGGCCTGACCTCGGGATTCCAGGGAACCACAATGGTTTAGCCAGCAAATCTTCGAAGAAAATAGAGATTATTCTGGGGCTCGCACTACTAGCGACGGCGGGCCACTCATGTATCACATATCAAGTATTTCCTTTATTTTACATAACCCCTCGCAACATCTGCTTTACGCATCCCAGCACATCTTGCATTCGATTCGCTTTCCTACCATTCGTCGTCTGCAAAAGCTTCCGAACATTTCTTGTCTTGTTTCGGTTGCTACTTTAGGATTTTCTTCCTTATGAATGTCTGAAACAGGAAGAGGTTGCTAGGACTACTAAAAGTATCTTTCCAGCGGCATTTGTTTTCTGAAGAAAAGCAACGGAGAATGGTATATTTTCGTGGTTTCTTTTTCTATTAAGCCATTCGAGGATTAGGAATTTGCAAAGGTTGCTATCTGAACACAAACAAGATGCCGTTCCATATGCAATGAAATGGATTGAAACAAACCGTGAAGAAGCTTGTTAGCACTTAAATTTCAAAATTTCCGACTAATTTATTGGAAAGCAAATACGGTTGAGAAGTTCACAAAACTGTCACCATTTAAAGTAATCGCACTAGAGATGTTTTCATGATATTTTTATCCGTTCAATACTATACAGAAAGGCCCTACTATATTCCTTTCATATTTTCATTCTTTCCAATAGTTTAGATGTAAAAGATGTAGAATGCCAAGCTAACTAACCAAATGTGGCCGTAGGTGAAGGAAATAGCAGTAAGATTGCTACTAGATAGAACATAACAGGAGTGGTCTTCTGGCATTAGAATCATCGTAGCATGTCTTAAAAGGCGTGCTCTACAGGCACAACACGACAGGTTCCGGTAAACTAAGTCATTGTGTATTGCGATACTCAACAGTTAGAGAATAGGTCAACATATCGATTCACATGGTTAAGGCTTACTTAATGAGGTCTCTATTGCAAGTATATGACAAGAGATTAGCAGAAATCAATACAAAATCTCTTACCGAACGTTTATGACTCTTCAAGAAATCCCTCTCAACTCAGATAAGTGGACTTCTGACTAAGCAATTTTTTTGTGGAATGGTGAAAGGTTGGCGGGGTGTTTTGTGGTTATGTCGGGGTTCAAGAGGAAAAGTTACGCTCCGTCCGTATCCAGCATGCTGATCATAGAACCATTCCATCGGTCGTTAAAGCGCATTGGAATCGACATCTGAGTCGGTCAATCTCTACAGACGACGGTTCCTGCACAACGAAATGGATGAAAGTGCTGGAACCTGTGCGATATGCGACGGCTGGCAAATATGGCAATACACGTGCAACTTTGTAACAGTTAAACTTGGAAACAATTTGTGATTTCGAAATTAATAACTGGGATTACATTGTGAGTAATTAGCAATGGTTCTAAAGAGATGTCTTTTTACCTAATAGAACTCTTATATCCTGTCGGTGAAGCAAATCCTTTGACCTATTGACGCTGGCTCCTAATTTTCAGCCTTTACAGACTTGCCGTGTTTTTGCAATATACAATGCTGTTTTTAATAACGAAGGGAACTGAAAGATGTGAGCATGGCAAGATTCCAGAGAAGAGTCCGCTCTATCGTTCTGTAAGTGTGAGTGATATATAGGCCACTATTTATTATATGTTGTTGTGGTTACTAGGGACGTGCGTAGCGCAGTGGTTAGGGGAGCCCTACGATACACATTGGTTCGAATCTGCGCCCCAGGCCTACTAAGTTCTACATCCCTTCGGAGTCGTCAAATTGGTACTAGACCTGTGTGAGGGATTGCAGTATTGACTTCACACATCGGTTGACCACCGTGAGTCACTCTATAGACCGGATATGCACTCATCACCTCTAAGGATACTTAACGAAGTCGGAGGCATCCCTCATCCTTCAGGGATTCATCAATGCCGAGAGCATTATCTTTTATCGTTTACTATGACTCATCATGCAAACACGTTGCTGTCGGAATTCTGGGGTATTTTGCAGCTGGCTTTATGTCTATTTCGGTATATTTTATACCTGCACATTTCATACAATAGTCGTGATTCATCTGAACGATTGAAATAAAATAGCGGTTGTTTTTAAC